ATTTTCTTTTATAGCGAAATTCTGACAGCTTTAATTCGAGACAAATTATCGTGAGGTTCTTGTACGATATATGTACGATACTAGTCAAAGAAACATTAAATAACGCTTTTAACCTGCTAAGTGATTTTCTTTTATAGCGAAATTCTGACAGCTTTAATTACCTGTTACTGCGGCGCAATCCGGTATCCGCCGCAGGTAAATATATCATTCGCCGCATGCAGCGATTGAAAGCTAGGGGGTCCATCATGAATACTCACCAGCAAACTGCGATGTGTAATTGTGATTCGAGCCGAAACCGTAATAATTGTGCCCTAGTTTGCTCGCCGAGTACTCGTCGCTCACGCGAGATGCCTATCTTCTTAGCAAACGAGGATCAGACGCATGAAAAGCTGCGAACGCACTCAGTCCTGTCTGCTGCACGGGGACCTGGCAGTTGAAGCGCGACTAAATGGACACGCACGCATTCTTGCGACGATTTCCATGTCATTTATCCCTGACTACAAGCACGCAGATTGAATATCACTGACTACAGGGTCACATATTGAATATCACTGACTACAGGGCCACATATTGAATATCATTGACTACAAGCTCACAGATTGAATATCACTGACTACAAGCTCACAGATTGAATATCACTGACTACAAGCTCACAGATTGAATATCACTGACTACAAGCACGCAGATTGAATATCACTGACTACAAGCACATGGATTGAATATCACTGACTACAAGCACATGGATTGAATATCACTGACTATAGTGACTACAAGATGATACGTGTACACGTCATTGCATTCAACACTGTCATCGAGGACATTCGTTCAAAACCGTCACCAAATAGGTCCTACACACCATTAAAACCGTCACCAAATAGGTCCTACACACCATTAAAACCGTCACCTAGGACACGCGATAATATAATCAGACATCTAGGAACCACCATTCAAACCTCCCCAGCAAGAACATGCTATTTAGCACCCAACACCCAGCACCTGATATCAACCATAATATAATTGGCATCAGACACCCAACATCCATCACCCACCCTTTGACACCTTATTTCTGACACCCAACCGCTATCATATAACCTTTCCAAATCACCTGAACATTTTCTCACCTTTCTTTACGTTCATTAACTAACAGTCCCAACTAAAAATTATGTGCTTTTTCTTTGAAATCCTATTAGGTAAATAATGTATACAAATTCTAGATTGTTGACTTTTATGATAATAAGAGGAGGAGGAACTATCAAATAATTGCACAAAGGTAAATGAAACCTTACACATTTACAAACACCTGTCATATCCTAATAATTATATGACGGTATAGTGATAGTTCATTTCGCTTTTGGCCTCACACGTTATAATGCGGACGTACTGTCTACATTTTCAGCTTCATCCTTATTAGTTTATTGCCAATTTTTAACGGATTTACGCTTTTTGTAGTCGATTGCTACATAAGAGTCATTATAAAGCCGTGCTCTTCGTATTACGTTTTTAATTGGGTAGTATACATTCGCAGCAAACGCGAGCGACATAAACGAAATACGATGAAAATTATGGAATCAAGTTTGTAATGTGACGTTTGTAATAAGATGTAGCTGGAATCACAAAATTACGAACCAAGTTTGAATAAGAATCGATTTGATCCGCATTTAGAAATAACGGTCACGTCAAACCAGTTTCCTTTAACCTCTCATCTTGCGCAAATGCATTAGAGCTAGTTGACAGGTCGGCGTTTTCTTTTTTTTAAAGCGTACTCCATTTACCTAGTTCTTAATATTGTCAAAGAAACATTAAATAACGCTTTTAACCTGCTAAGTAATTTTCTTTTATAGCGAAATTCTGACAGCTTTAATTCGAGACAAATTATCGTGAGGTTCTTGTACGATATATGTACGATACTAGTCAAAGAAACATTAAATAACGCTTTTAACCTGCTAAGTGATTTTCTTTTATAGCGAAATTCTGACAGCTTTAATTCGAGACAAATTATCGTGAGGTTCTTGTACGATATATGTACGATACTAGTCAAAGAA